ATCCAAGCAACAGCCTCACACAGGGCCAATGGGCTGATTTAGACATATCCCTTTGCAAAGCAATTAAGCAAAGCACCACAGGTGATGCCCATTCGTTTGCATTTGAAAACTGTTTTCTTCAGGCTTCACAAAGGTGTGTTCTGAGGCAAAGACCTTGCTGACATCCAGGGAAACAGAACAATAGGTAAGCAAAAGGCCCAAAGCAGGGTTTCTCCACTGAGACTTTACTGGGCCCACTGATACCTGAGTTTTCTGAGATGCTCGCCATTCCTTTCAGCTATCCAGTACATGGCCATGTCACCACGCTTGGAGGTGGTACATATCTTGGACACAAAACCATGAGCCTATTCTGGAGAGTGTCCAGAACTCAGGAAGAAAACAGGAATTTAGGAAGATAGTAGTTCCTGCCCATGGATAAGGCAAGCCTCAGTTTATTCATAAATTGGGCAGGATGAATACTCCAAACTTTCTACTAGACAGGACACATCTATTGATGCATTCTCTTTTCTAATGTCTACAACCAAGGACACAGTGGGATACACAGACATAGCAACACTCTCCTTGGCAAAAGACTTGCTAGAAACAGTCCACTCCAAACCAAAAAAATTGCCTTTCCTAGCTCTTCTCAGAACATGAGACAAAACAACAAACTCACACCCACACACACAAAGCCACCTCCTTCCCCCAAGGAGGTCTGTGACTACCCACAGTGTCCTCTGACTGGTGGGCCATACTATGTTCCCCCGAAATGGCCTGTCCTGTCTCAGATCTGGCCTCCTTTGCAAATTCTGTGGAGTTGTCAAGAGCCAGGTGTGAGCCACTACCTGCTTTCTCAGGAAAGACCCCCTTCAGAGCTTTCCTGGCAATTGGCCATCTTCACATCTGTAGGTACCAAGAAAGACTGACTCTGTCCTTGGTAAATCCAAACAAGTGAGCCCACTGGGACTGGCACTGGGACTGCCTCTGGGTTCCTGGCTTCCTGGATCCCATGTTCAGAGAGTTCCATCACCAAGTAAGTGTGGTGA